GTGTGTGTGTGTGTGTGTGTCTTTTGTTTGGTTTTTATGTGTTTTTTTTAATACATTAGAAAACGCAATAAAGAACATGGGGTTGTAGCTCTCCAATAGATATACAACCCTATGCTTTTTATTTATTTTTTATTTTTTTTCCGGCAAAACAAATCTCTGTGAAAAAAAGGAAAACCCACTTATTTCATCTTTTTTTTTCTGTTTTTTTCTTTTCTGATTTTTTTTATAAATATTCGATATTGTGCTAAAAAATAAAATAAAAATATGGGATTGTAGCTCTTGAAAAAAAAAAAAAAAAAAAAAAAGATCTTCAACCCTATAGCCTCCTGATGAGTCGGTGAAACTCCGACGAAAAAGTTTGTCACAGCCCCTCGTTTGTTGTCCTCTTCTCTCTCTCTGCCTACGGTTTACGGGGCAGTTCTGTTTGTGACGATATATTGACGATATATAGCCCCTCGTTTGTTGTCCTCTTCTCTCTCTCTCTGCCTACGGTTTACCGGGCAGTTCTATTTGTGACGATATATATTTGCTCATGTTTTTCCTGCGAATAAAATCTTCCCGGGTTGCAGTAAACCGCGATGAACAGGGGGGGGTTCAACGCAGTTTCCCCGTGTTCTCAACGCGCGTTGAAAGATGCAATGCGGGACCCGCGTTGAAATAACTTCCAGCTACTCAGTCATAATGCATTACTTCCTATGTGCAAAACGTTATTGAGAGGGCTTTTTAGGGCTTGTGCAGAGACAGGCTTCCAGCTGTGTCTGCAGCCAGTTTTTAAGCCCGTGTAGGGTCTCTTGATTGGTACATGTTCTACAAACCGAAGAGTTGGTGGGAGGCTGTTGGCTCCGGATCTGAACTCACACCAGGAGGATTCCTGAGCATTTGCACTTAACTTTGCACTTCCTTGGGCAGCGACGTGTTCGAAGCACATCACCTGACTGGATCAAGCACGCCATCTTTCCCTGCTTTGTTCTCATGTCGACCTGGGATCTGCAGAGGAATAATAATAATAATAATAATAATAATAATAATAATAATAATAATAATGACAAGGAGAAGAAGAAGTAATAATAATAATAATAAGAAGAAGAAGAAGAAGGAGAAAAGGCAGGAGCGGAGAGAGCAAACGAGCTAATATGCTGACGCGGGCAACGAGGTTTGTTTTTGACAGAAGGGTAAATGTGGTGATGTGGGTGTGGTTGCAGGGGGCCTTGCACAGTAGCCTGGTTGATGCGATTTGCCCGCACCTGCCGGTACTTCGAAGCAGCCCTTATGGAAAGCGTATTCTGTCGCGAACCAACCTCAAGAAGTAAGATGAGTAAGGAGGAGGAGAGAATAGAGCAGACGGTGTTTATATTGTGGTACATTAGCAACCAGGCGTGCACGGCAGGGCAGGTTGGATTCATTCTGATGCATGAATGAGAATAGACCTGTATTACCATCATTTTGCCTTTGGTGGTTGTGAAAGGGCGATGGTGCCTGCGAAAGAGCAAAGCGGGGACATTTGTTTGGGATGAGAAAAATGATGACAATCGCAGATCGGATTGTCGCGTTAAAGCACTGTGTTGGGTAGAGTTGGAACGCGCCAACTTTGTCGAGCTCATGCCTGCTCGACCCAAGGGTTCCTTCCATAAGTCCCGAGGGTGTTTCAAGTGGTGTCAAGATGTTGTTTGATTGTATAGTTATTGATTTGATAATAGGAGACCAGCAAGAACGGAACGGATTTGAACGGTGGTGCCCTGGACGGCGGGTGAACGGTGGGGACAACGGATGGGCGTAACACCTGCGTTCCTTGCACGCACAGGAGACGACAGGTTGCAGCGAAATTGCCTCGGTGGATATGACTTGGATGTCGGGTGCATGGCATCAAACATGTAGACGGTGGAGGGATTTATTTTCAAAGAACGGGCCCCGGGGGGGGATCACAATCGAAATTGGTTTTTTGTGAGCTGCAGTGGTACGCTGGTTCTCTGTACAACATGTTCTCAAAGAGGAGGGAGTGGACGAATGTGAACTGCGTTGCTTCGTTGGGAAGCTGGCAGGCGAACTTGGGCGGAAGGGAATTATTGCAAATGGGTGCAAGTTCTTGGGGAGGACCTCGAAGCTTCTATCTTTGAGGTTCGTGTTAAATGGATGGGATGTGTAGAACAGATGGGTGAAGGAGCAGGGCAGGTCTTGTCCCGAATTCGGCTATGATGATGCCCATGACATTCTCGAAGCAGAGGATGAAGATGACCGATGAGCGGGCAAGAGACAGTCGCTAGTTTTTTTCTGTTGTAATCCATGGGGGGGATCATTGCCACGGAGAGGGCGGGGGGTTGGTGGGGGGGGGGGGGGGGGGGGGGGGGGGGGAGAGGAGGTGAGGGAATTGCCGAGAGAGAGGGCTGCTTGACTGTTCATGCCCACTGGCTTCTTTGGTTTCTCTTCTTTGTTGTTTTTCTTGCGGCTCTCTTGTATGACGCTACGCGACTGCAAAGAATGCAGGGGGAAAAAAAAGGGGAGGAAAGGACTTCGTTCGTTCGAGGAGAATACGAGGCAGAGACGAGATGCATTCAATAAGATTAGAAGTGCGATGGCAGATGCACGCTGTAGTGATATCTGCTACTACTTGTGGTGGGGAGAAGGTTTGCAGGGCTTCGTCTCTAGAAGAGGGAGGATTCTTCTGGTGGAGCGAGGGTGGGGGATCGAGTCGAGTGACTTTTGAATTGGATTTTGGCACGGTTGTTTATCATAGAATAACGCCAAGGGAGGAAGCGGGCTTTTCTCGTAGAGCCTTGAATTCCTTGTTCAATTGGCCCTCTAGGACGGAGGAAGTAGAAATCATCTTGCAATAGAAACGCAAGGGAACCATTCTGGTTCTTTGTTCCAGGGATTTGGATGCGTGGTGGCGATCAGGTTGGTTCATGGGAAATTTGGGGCCGGCGGGGGTGTAATGAAATGGGATGGGTCCGCAGGATGGGGGGGTGTTTGTGGGGCAGGCAGCGGGGCACGGTGGAAGGGGAGGAGTGGGGGGAGGTTGGGGGCGGGGGGGAGGAGCTTGGGGGTTTTGGTTGGAGTGGCAGAGTGGGGAGGGATCGGAGGGGGGTTGGATGTGGTGTGGTGTTGGACTGGTAGCGGGAGATGCAACTCTTGTGATTGCGTCAACATATATAGATTGGGCATCTGGAAATTTACCTCTGACACCATGCTGGCTGAGATTGCTCACATTGGGGGTGGAATCTTGTGCAAGCGGTTTCGAAGAGGTGATACACAATTGAATTCGAAGAAAAAAACAAAAGCGTGCTGGTAAACCTGAATCCCGTAGATGCTGATTGGCTCGAAGGAAAGAAAAAAAAAAGAGTCGGAGATGATGCAGACATCGCGAAGAAGTCAGCTGCTGGATGGTCTTCTTCAGGTGTTTTGGACCTTAGCATCACCAAGAAAGGACGTAAAAGGGAGGGTCGTCACGTGCAGCCGAGGTGGGCTCCAGGCATGTGGGAGACACAGCATCGGTGAGGTTTATTAAGCTTGGGTAGGTGCTTTGGGATGACAAGGGAGGCGTGCTGTCTCATTCGTCTTGGGATTCTTTCTGTTGCTGACCAAGACGTGGTCGAGGTGGGAAGAACAGACAAGCTAGGTCCGTGTGTGATTCGGATTGGGGTGTTGTTGCTCATCTGACTGTTGAGCTTGCAGCGTCGTCGGATGTCTGCTGCATAATTCTTCAAGTTTTCTTGTCTTTTGTCTTGGCCTCGTTCTCGGCCTTTTGCCGTCCTGTGCTCCACACTCTCGCTCAAAGATTCTGCCTCCGCTCCTGCTTCTGCTGCCGTCGCTGCTGCTGCTGTTGATGATGATGAGCGATGGTGATGATGATACACTGGCGTAGCCGGTATGGCCGTTGCACGGAAGGGGCTGAGAGCAGCCAAGGAGTGGAATTTGCTCACACGGTGTCGTGTGCTGTGTTGAGCTGCTGGGGAGGGTTTTTTCGCTTGCGGAAGGAAAGAGACAATGGAAGAAAGAGTGGGGGAGATGATGGATGGCTAATCTATAGAGAGCACGATTCTTTAGTGTTTGGTGTCACATTCACAGAGAGGGCCCCGGGTGCGGCGATGATGCATGCCTGGAGGTAAGAGCATCAGAACAGCCAAGGGACGATGCGGGGTATCTGGTCATTGCATTTGCAGAGCCTCTCGGTGTACGCTACGCTGGCCCAGAATTGCGGGGCTTTGTCTGTACCTCATTGTTGTACCGTAACTACTAATTGTAATGAGCTTCTTTAAAGGATGTCGTTAACTTGGGCGAGTTTTCAAGGATTCCAATTTCCGCGCATGTGTGCTTTTTTTTGTTGTTGTCAACGACAATATACAGTGTGCTAGTGTACTCTGCACGGCTTTGCTTTGCTTTGCTTTGGTCAAGGGGAATTCGAAAAAAATCGCACCCATCTCTTGGAATGTGGATAATTCGAATGTGCGCATGTGAAAAATATACGCAAACTCCTAAACCCACTTGTTGCTGCTGGATTTGGCAGAAGATGCAAGACAAGGAAGGTAGAGGGTAAAAGCGCGAAGTCAGAGAAGAGGCTAAAGATAACTAAAACCTGAAAAGCGCGGTGAAAGGTTCGAGTTGAAAAAGCTTGAAGAGTATGGAAATGTGTCATCATGATGATGTGTAAAGTTACTTAACACTCGCCGGATCACCGGGAGGGAAGGAACCGTAATTCACTCGCATCGATGCCTGCGTCCGAAATGGCCATGTACAAGTGCATCACTGTTGGTTTCTGAAAGACTGGGTGCGCTAGATGGGGCTACTACGTAGACGGGATCCACTACCGTAGGGAGGAGTCGTCTGTGGCAGTTGGAATGTGTCTGATTCAGACGGATTGGACTTTTAAGAAGTTTACGTTCACCGTCGCTGGTCACTCTTTTGATATGCATTCTCTTAACATGGTAGAGTCAGAACTGCGGTCGTTGTGTTGAGGTTTATATTGGCTTGTTGAATTGTTGTTCCACAACTCTTGAGCACTCGTCGGTCTCGTGTCTTATGTCTTCCACGCTCGAATGCTTGCTGGAAAGGATCTTCGGATCTTCCTTGACTGCCAAAACCCAGTATGTGCAAATCTGAACGTCCCTGCTGCACGTGGTGCTGATAAAAATAACGCACATTGTACTGGCCTTCTGTCTACTCTGTGTCTCTGTGTGTGTGTGTGTGTGTGTGTGTGTGTGTGAGAGAGAGAGAGAGAGAGAGAGGCGCACTGATGTGTGCTTACCTATCATCTGTCATGTTGCTCAAGGCGTCTCACTTCTTGATTCTGCTGAAATGTGCAAAACTTGACTGAGTTGTGGAATTTATCAGAAAGAGAAGTCTTGAAGATCTCTGGATTGTAAGAATGTTCAGCAGCACTTTTCCTGTCAGACTGTCACCTTTTTTGCCATGGACTGAGAAGTCTTGAAGATCTCTGGATTGCAAGATCTCTGTCACTTTTTCTACGGCATCGGTGCACTGGTTGGACCGTGCAGTCCATTTTGGTCCATTGAAGTGGCCCAGAGGCATCTGAATGTCACGTGCCGAGGCTAGGACGACCAGGCTCGGGCGTGGGATTTCTTCCTGAGCCCCTCGACCCGACGTGCAACTTATATATATATATGGCTCGACTTAAAACCAATGATGGCTCCTTCCGGATTTCCGAAGGTGCCGGTCTTACCAGCCATAGCTGTGGGTCCTCTGCAAACATGTGGACCAGTCCCCAAACAATTTTCACCCACATTACACCCCCTTATCTGCTGGTTGCCTGCTGCAAAAAATGTGCCACCTTGACACAGACGCTGGAAGCCACTATACCGCAGTCCTTAGGGCTGCGAATTACCCAGGCCCGCGGGCTCTCACCTGCCACCAGTGCCGAGGACCGAATTCTCCGTGATGTTGCCCATGTGTCTTTTTTTTTTTGTTTTTTTTCGCTTGCGGATTCCGGCTGTGAGACACACCCACAGAAAATCGCTGCCCAACTCCCGTGTGGAGATGCACAGATTTTGCCCACGGCCGTTTGGAGATGCACAGATTCTGTGGGTGAGACACCCACAGAAAATCGCTGCCCAGATTTTGCCCATGGGCTGCATTTCACCGAATAACTTGTTTCGGTAATCGTTCTGATTACCAAAAGTCGCCGAAGCACAGCTCTAGACATTTCGCAACAAGCTGCTGCCTACTGCCTGTGGCCAAGCCCATCGGTGACTGTCAGATCTTGAAGATCTGGCGGCCTAAAAAAAAAAACTCGAACGCTGTTCAAGACTTTGGGTCCCTTTTTTGGGCCTCCCGGCACGGGGAAGGACCGGTCCTACGCGTTCCAGAGCTAGGGCAACCAAATAGCTATCGGTCGTCCTAAAAAAATTCAAAGGACTGGTCATCATACGACTTCCAGCACTGTTGTCCCCATTTTTTGTTGTCGCCATTTAGAATGGTCGCCCGCCACAAATATGCACGCCATCTCTTTGTTGTCGCCATTTGGAATGGTCGCCCGCCACAAAAATGCATGCCATCTCGACACAGGCTTGCACGGCGACCCATTCTACCACACAGCCTTAGGGATGCGGACACTTGCCTCCAAGGACGTGCCTGGTGCATGCTTGGCCTAACGCTTGCTCTGTCTGATACACTAAGCCAGGTGTGACAAAACAAAAAAACCTTCTGCTCAGGATCGAGACTGAAGCTGATAATTGGTAGCCACGGACAAGCGTCCAGAAGTTACCTCGTGTTCTAGCAATGGGGGGAAAGTTACTGAAATGGGTAAGGCTGGGGAAACTCATGAGACATGATGGAACTGGTCGTGCTTTCTGGGCTAGTTCTTCCTGGCCGCGCCTTACATGCAATTGAATTCAAGTATAACACATGCTCCAATTGGCATCTATCTATAGATAGTACGCCAAGTGTTTGATGGTATATATATATATCTATTTGACGATATATATATACCAATTGCACTACCATCACAAGCATATATATATATATACGAGTCGGTGAAACTCCGACGAAACGGTTTGTCACAGCCCCTCGTTTGAATTTGTCCTCTTCTCTCTCTGCCTACGGTTTACTGGGCAGTTCTGTTTGTGACGATATATATATATGATGAGTCGGTGAAACTCCGACGAAACAGTTTGTCACAGCCCCTCGTTTGTTGTCCTCTTCTCCCTCTCTGCCTACGGTTTACCGGCCAGTTCTATTTGACGATATATACTACGACTTCGCTA